CATCCATCCATCCATCCATCCATCCATCCATCCATCCATCCATCCATCCATTTTTTTCTACTTATCCGGGGTCGGGTCACGGGGATAGCAGCTGAAGTGGGGAGGCCCAGACTTCCATTGTCACTTAGAGCCTCTGCTGCTTAGAGCCTCTTTTCTACAAATCATCTGAATCATAATTTATGGATTTGGATTTGATCAGTTGGTCCCTCAACACAATCAATAACATTTCTTCAAAAGAGAAGACAGGCTTTAGGTGAGCCAATTTGCCCTGTTAGCACGCACGCAGCTGGATATTTCATCGACTTGAAAACTTTATGATGTGTCTTATCTCTGCTGTCATTTGTGGATTTTATGGACTCATTTATAATTGGATTCATGATAACTGGTTCCTGCTTTTTGGATTTGGCTGGTTGCTGGTTTATCTACAATCAAGGAAGTCGTTGGCAGCAAATTTGGACCTGATCATGCTGCTTGCCTTTATGATGGCTTGGTTCGTGCCTTGAGTACCCAGACTCAAATGCTTTGGGCAGAATGGAATGCTTTGGGGATTTTACTCAGGCACGTTCCATCAGAGTGGCCATGTAATTTGGACATTTCGGAACCGTTTGGATGAACACAGACTCAAGGTTGATGTCAATAAGTTCTGCCTGTCCCCAAAACAACTCTTCAGAGTTCAAAGCTGATGATATATCCATCTGCGTGCATGCCAACATGGCAAATCGGATCGCCTAAAACCTGTCTTCTCTTCGAAGAAATGTTATCAGTTGTGTTGAGGGACCAACTGATCAAATCCAAGTCCATAGTTATGATTCGGAAGATTGTAGAAGAGAGGCTCTAAAGCAGTTTCACAGACAGACAGGGCAGCAAAGGAAAGCGGAGAGGGAGAGGATGAGACGTCCGCCCTTGACAAGAGCAAGTGTTTAGCTGTTTTTATGCTAATTCCAGCTTTTTCAGCTTATTTCACATTTAGTGCACTCATTTCAACGTTTTTGTTTCAGATAATTTCAACAGAATGTGCTGTCTTCATTTGCTTCTGGTAATTTTAGGCTCTTTCATGATAGCATTTCACTACTTTGGTTCTAAACTGGTTTTCTTCTAGCTTTTATGCTAATTAATATTGCTCTACTTCTAGCTCTTAGCTAGCATTTTATAATTTTTTTTTCATTTCTTCTGTTGTCTTTATTAGCAATTATCCCTGTGTGCCTTTGTGCTACTACTTTTAATTTTCTTTGCTAGTTACCATTTTCTTTGTGTATTGTAGCTTTCCTAACCTTTTGTCTGCATTTTCTTCCTGTATTCTGATTTTTCGTGTTCTATTTGTGCTTGGCAACACGATGGCTCAGTGGTTAGCACTGTTGCTTCAAAGCAAGAAGGTCCTGGGTTCAATCCCCGGTTGGACCTGAGGTCCTTCTGTGTGGAGTTGACATGTTCTTCTTGTGCTTGTGTGGGTTTTCTCCGCGTAATCCGGTTTCCTCCCACAGATCAAAAACATGCATGTTTGTCTGCCTTCAGGTCCAGGCCTCCCTTGCAAAAGAGATCTGTGATCTCAGTGGGATTTGCCTGGTTAAATAAAGTTTAAATAAAGGTTAATAATAATGAGGAATGAGTTCAATTGATACCTTCTTGTGTTCAGATGTTTTGTTTTTCCTTTTTTATTTTCAATGGGAGTGTCCAGTGACACCTGGAATGTCCATCCCACCTTGAAGATGTTCGCTCAAACATTCTAGTTATTCATATTCATAATGTGGGCGTGGCAAGATGGCGCCAGTGTGTGTGGCCGTCCATCTGTCGCTCTTGGTTTGGTTTGTTTTATTTCTCCATTTTGTGCTCAGCACTAAGTCTGTGCTTGTGTACAATCGCCAGTCCCTCCTGGATATTCGACATGTTGGCAATCTCAGTGCATTTGATTATGGTGGACAGAAAACTTTACCCCCGCTCCTGTCAGGAGTACCAGCTCATCTCCTCCGGGCACCTGCGCTGCCCCCCTGGCGGAAACGTCGTTGTTACCGCGGTAAACGTGGAGGACAGCTGGTGAAACTAAAGATCTGCCTGACCCATTCTACGTCCATTTCTCAGACAAGAAATGGATTATTTCCGTCTTTCGCTGTGCCTTGGCATTTCCTGGATCCTGACTACAGGTGTCAGCTACCTGTCACCGGCCTGGATGCGGGCATTCGCCCCCACCCCTCCTGCTTCTCTCGGCTCTACCTGCGTGGAGTGAACCTGCAGAGCCTGAAGACGCTGCCCCAGGCCCTAGCGCCCGTCGGTTTACATGCTGCGGTTTCTGCCAGGATTGGGCTGGTGAACGCCAGGTCTGTAACAAACAAAACTTTCATCCTGCGGGACTTTTTCAGTTCCCGTCATTTGGATTTGTTCTGTATCACAGAGACCTGGGTTGAGGCTGATGACTCCAGTGTTTTTGTTGAACTTCTACCAGACGGCTGCTCTTATCTAAGCTCCCCTCGGATGTCAGGCCGTGGCGGAGGAACGGCGGTGGTTTATAAAAACAACTTTAAATGCAAGCAGTGCTCTGCACCGTCTTCATTCTCCAGCTTCGAGGTGACTTTATTTGAGGTGGGTCGCTCACACCCCGTGCTGTGCGCTGTCATCTACAGAGCCCCTAAATATAATAAGGATTTCTTGAATGACTTTTCTGATTTCCTGACTGGAATAATGATAAACTGTGATCGAGTCCTTATTGTTGGGGATTTTAACATACATGTATGCTGCCCAGAGAAACCACTGGTGAAGGACTTT